GAGAGAGAGAGAGAGAGAAAGAGAGAGAGAGAGAGAGAGAGAGAGAGAGAGAGAGGAGTAATCTGCGCCTTCCCCGCGGATATTAACTCGCATTAACTAATTAATTCCCATTAATATTTGATAGTTCATAAACGTTTCTTCTTAAGAGGCATACCATATTAATTTTTGCCTGTCAAAAGAACCCGTTGTTAGAATGTATGGATCAATGATGACTGAGAATCAATACACAAAAAATAATGATCATTTTACAGTATAAAACTTGTTAAGAGGTAATTCAGGGACCGCGGAAGCGGGTGGCTGAGGGGGCTTTAGCTCCCCAGTCATTTCCAAAATGTACTCAAAACCGTACCAAAAGCCTTGCTCTTTGTTTTTAGCATGTTTAGCCCCCCTCCCAAATCTAAGAGCCCCCTCACACAGTAAATTGCTCCGCGATCCTTGGGTTAATTTGCACTAACGTAGCGGTAAGGTCTCTTTTTTTAAACTACCTGAAGGGGGAAAAGTAGCTCGAGTTTGAGGTGTCGCGATTTCAACTAGCCTTATTTTCGTCATCCAGTCGTCAAGTATTCTGTGAATCATTTCAAATGTCGGCCTACGTTCGATTTGCTTACACCAGCATTCGTTTAAAAGTTCTTTCATAGCCGGGACACAGTTTGATGGTATTTCGGGTCGCGTTCCACTTATAATGGCGTCCATTATCTAAGACATAAAACATAAGACATCAGAATTTTACTTTTAACAAAAAAACCGGGTATAATTTAAGATAAAAAACTAAATACTGAATGAACACGAACAACAACAAAAACGATATTATACGCTCTTTTAAAAAAACATTCCTTATAAGAAACATCAGGGTGAGATCTGTCGAAAAAATATGACCAACAAAAAAAAGAGGCAGGTTGAGATCCACAATAAAGCTCACGGAGCAGGTACCCCCCCCCCCCCCTCTAACATTTTGGATTCATAAAGGATTTTTGCCGGGCAAAAGAAACACTTTTTGTTCTCTTCCTGTAACCTTTTTGCAACAATTGCAACGTATAAACATTTCTGTAGTAGTTAAACTTTTAAAGTTTGGAAGTAAAGTATGAAATTTGAAACAGAAACGCTTAAAAGCGTATTTATATTTTGACCACACCCGTGAAGAGTGAGACACGCCCTTTTTGTCGGCAAAAATTACTTCTTTAGCCCATCGAAAAGTTTGTTTGGCTTCGCCCCTGTCAAAGAGCAATACAAGCAAAAATTGAAAAAGAAAAGAATAGCAACAGCCAACAAAACAAAGGACAGCGATAAGCAAAACAGCATTTCAACAACAATTACAAAAACTTATTATAATAAGCAATAAACAATAAAAACGTGAAGGCTGAAATTATGCCAATTGTTCTAAAGTCAGGTTATTAAAAGAATTAAGTGTTAAAGCGTCTTTTGCTGTTCACGTCTTTGAACAGATGATAATTTTTGGACAATATATCATGTTGTCTTTAACTCTTCTTTGGCGCCAGTGTAGCACAGCGTTTTGTAAAGTTTTTGCGCGTAAAGCCCGCTCCCCTCCAGCAGACGCTACTCGATTCACTTGATTTTATGAACATTTCAAAACTAACTGAAAAAGCCAGTTGCGTTGGCATAGTCCTCGAACTTTTTGCAACACAATAGAGCTTTTTCAAAATATTTTCTTATGGGTGTTACATTTTCCCTTGCCTCCCTCCCACTTCCCAACTTGTGACTGAGCCCATGATCGTTTATCTGTTTTTGAGATTTCGAACAATTATTGGTAAGATCAAGTGAAATTTCAATGAAACCTGACAGCTAAGTTAATGAATCTGGCCCATCGAATCTTTGTGGCTGTTATCTGCTGCAGGCAAACTTTGGATGCATTTGCGGATACCTGGGGGCAATAGGGGTAATAGGGGCGAAAGGGGATTTCCCTAAATATTTTGAAGGACAATTGCTTTTTTTTCTAAAAAAATTGGGAAATGTGAAGTCATTGTTTCTAATGACAGGCATGCCCCCCCACTATTTAACTAAGTGTCTGCCCCTACTGGGGTTGCTTTAGCACCCTAATATTTTGCAAAAAGTGCAAAATTTTAATAAATGAACCACCAGCAAAGCCTCTTTTTTCTAATTTATTGTCCAGCCCCCCCCCACCATTTTTAGACCCACCACTTTTCATAACAATACTTATCAGTATTGAAGCATTCTGTTACAAAAAACAACAAAGTGACATGCATAAAAAAGACTCTGGGTAGATGAAAGAATATTTCTTCTTACTTGAAACTCAAACTTGTAGCCTCTAAAGGGCCGTTTGTTGGAAATCATCTCCCATAGTGTTATACCATATGAATACACATCTGCAGCTGTCGTGTATTTGCCTCTAATCCCAGGGGGCTTTGGGGGGAGAACTTCCGGTGCTGCCCAGCACACTGTCCCTGGAAATTCAGACCTTTGATCATCTACAAAACAATTAGTTCATTATTTACTGCAGTATTGTAAAAATTGAAACCATAGAATAAAGAGAATAATTAAATCAAAGATTTTATCAATGTTTTGAAGATCCTTTTTTTCTGTGCCCATGATGAATTTGGTGATCTTCCACAAAATGCTTATGTTATTCTTTTTAGTATTTCACTTAGATATTGATGATTTTAAGACATATTATTGTAAAACAATGCTTCTCAACATAAGATTATTGCAAAATAAATAACCTTGCACTCGCCGTTTACTTCGGTTGAACATTGATCCACTATTTGTAAATTTTTTATATAGCTTTGCTGTTCCAAAATCACCAACCTGAAAAAGAATGCTGGAAAAATTAGAACTCTGTGAAAGCTTCTGAATTTTGAAAATTGAAAGACTCTTCATGAAAATATCAAACAAGTGAAATATCTTGTTTTAAGCCTTCTGTTCTTTTCTAACTGAAACAAACCTTGACAACACCATTTTCATCCACCAGAAGATTGTCAGACTTTAGATCTCTGTGAATAATTGGCTGAGGTTTGTGTGCATGAAGAAATTCCATTCCTTTTGCTGCATCCAATGACTATAAAGCAAATTATAAGTGAACTTTGATTATCATATTTTCTTAGCATTGACAATTTGGTCAGCTCTAACGCTCTAAAGAAGGGAAAAACAATAACAGATTTAATGACAATCTGAAAATTATCTGAAGATATGAAGGCTACAGCCCCCCAAAAATACCATTTTGTCAGAAGTTTGAGCACTAGCTTCAGCCTAACTAGATTTTTGAGGCTAGCTTCAGCCTTTTGAGGGTTTGAACCAAAGCTTTTCTAAGGGTTTGAAGGAAAGCCTTTTATTTGTCCACTCTTCCAAAGAAAAATAAACTGATTGAAAGTACTTTCTTTTTATTTCCTTATTATCAAGTCTTTCTATTATCAAGGCTTTAAAAGCTTTTGCATATAAAGTAATAGAAATACAATCTTATGGAAATTCTACAACCCAGTTTATTACCATGACATAAATAGTTTGCAGGATAAGATTTCTCATGAAGTGCACAGACCAAAACATAACATTTCTGAGCTCTTCATCTCAGCCACCTACTTCTCCATGCTAAGGGAGAACAAAGTTTTATCGCCTTCAGGCAATTTTTATATTCCTTTGTTGTGGATTGTTTTGTATTGATCATTTTCTTTCGTTAAGGATGAACTCAGCACAGAACTGCAACTCCTCTATTTTTACCAGGAGTCCTCAAGACAAACAAACTTAAAGCTCATTACCAAGTTACCTAAAAAAGGAACGGTCAGGAGGGCTATGGCACCATCCACCCCTACTCCCATCTCCCATTGCAGATTTAGCCAATTTTCCTTTTTACAGTATATTGATAGTCATTTTTAGTGCTTTTTGCTGTGCCCCTCCCCCACCAACCAAGTTATCATTTGCCTCTGAATACATGAAATGTGGATAGTAATCATGCTTACCCATTTAATTATTAATTTCCATTCAAGAGAGCAAAAATCTTTATGAATTTTGTCAGCAACAGAACCTCCTTGCATGTATTCCATAATGATACATGGGTTGTCAACTGACAGGCATATTCCAATGAATTGGACTATGTAGCGATTTCGAAGTTTGCTGAAATAGTACCAAAAATTAGTTCTTGCCAAAAGTATCTATTCCAATTGTATTTCTATTTTGCAAGGATTATATTTCTATTTCAAGGTGTCAAAGCATACATACTTACTGAATCTAAATTTCTGTCTCTTTTTGCACTATAAATTGGATTGTCTTATGTTATCTTGTCTTGTCTTGGATTATCTTCAATTATTATTGAGAAAGTACATCACAGTTCAATCCTATTAAGTCACATTTATAAATTCTAGGAAAGTTCTTCAATGCTATGAAATATATATTCCTAGTTGTGGATCAAAAATGGCCAATGAGATACATTGCTTGCCTATTGAAAATGTTACCAAATATTCATCATCATTATTTTTTGTATTAATTTATTACAGTGTCTATGTATTTAGCATTCTGTGCTAACAGGGGACACTATCATACAACATGTTTTCAATAAAGCAAAAATTATTTTTCAATGCATTCCTTCTCTTTGTGGCATTTCAAACTATTATTTTCCTGTCTTCATTTTCTTGACTTGCCATTACTCAAATATTGGGTTTTGAGACACAAAGAAGCTTAGATAGTCAAACTGTACAGGACAAACATATCAGGACAAAAAAATTAAATGAAAACACCTGATACTAACTGATATTATTGCCAGGATTATTTCAATATGCATTGGAAAATTAATGAGCTTAAAGGACATAAAGTGTCTCACCTTAATGTCGAAACTTCATTCAAGAATGATTGTGAACCTTCATCCAGGCAAAGTGGTAATAGCATAGTCTTAACTGCAACTTCAGATCCTCTGAATACCCCTACATAAACAACTCCGAAGCTACCTTCACCAAGCCTGTAAAAAAGAAATATTGATCAAGTAATATTGCATTAAAATCTTTCATTTGGGGTTTGCTTTTAAAAAATTTCTAGTATTCACGAAGCAAAACTTTCATATGATAATGAAGTGAAGAAAAGTTGGATGTTTGCATGTAGCCTTGAACCAAGGAATTGTATATTGGCAGATGCTTATAATTTAGAGATATAGTAAAATTTAATGAGCTAGAATCGTTAATTCTTAATTTTTGAGACAATCTTTGAGACCAATGGATAGACCAAACCAAACAGATTTGCTAATGGTCAGCCAACCAACCTATGACAAGCAAAACGTGTGATATGTTTAAGAAACAAAAAATAAGAAAATTATAGCAACTTCTTTGGTGTGAAATTCAGTTCAGTTGATAACTCCTGGGTTCTTTACCTATACTATTTCAATCAGCTACTAGGGCAAGAGTGCGCAAAAAAATCAAGGAAAATGTAAACAGCAAATTTTGCTAAATTTTTCATGGCCAAGACCTGCAACCGCCCTCGTGCGCTCTTTTGATGTAGAAAAGGAAAGTGTAAGCGAAGAGAAGAGGTTGGTAAGCTAGCCAAAATCGTATAATAGTTCAGTTAGCTAAGTGCTAATTTAATAATGCCAGCGAACATTATTAGCAGTAATGATAAATGGCTTTACGATTCTCATCCACATAATTTCTAAGCATGCTTCTTTGCACTCTAACTTAAAGAGTTTTCAGAGTCTAAGACAGAGGTACATACTTTTTAGATACATGTATTTCATCTTTATTAATGATATAATCCGCAAAATTTCTGAAGCTGTCGTAGTAAGGCTGCCTGACTGTATTGATAGGCCGTTCTGATGGTAATAATACATATGAAGGCCCCTGTCGTTTGCAAAAGGAACAGCAAATGATGATTACAAACAGAAGGACAAGCAGCGTTCCACCAGACACCGACCAAATCAATATCTCATTAATATCGCCGGACGCCATTTCCGGGGCAAAATCTAATCTCCCATCTTCTCCACGCAGCCAGATTACAGGACGACTTCCTTCTTTGCAACGAATTTCACTTTTTTCGGGGAATTCCTTACCAAAGCGAGGCAGAACGAACATAGGAATATACACACACGATAGCAAGCATAGGAATATACGTAGTAACCAAGAGGTAGCGGATAAGGGTTCAGCTGTTGTAGTTTGGGACAGGGGTGAATGAGGAAAACTAGGTAGGTTCCATTTGTTATCTAATACTCATAAGGGATTAAGTGGGGTTAAGGGTCGTCCAGTAATTTCCAATTGTGGCACCATTACAGAAAATATATCAGAATATCTAGATCACCACCTCAATCCACTGATTAGCCTCGGTAGGTCGTACATTAAGGACACTATCATTTCTTATCTAAGTTAAGTGCAATAGGTAGGATACCAGAGGGGGCTATACTATGCACGGTTGATGTTGTGGGACTCTATCCTAGCATTCCACATGGAGAGGGTTTGAAAGCCATCAGGGAAGCGCTGGATAGAAGGTAAACCCAAACGTGTCTTCTGATACCCTAGTGGGATTGGCATCTCTGGTTCTCGATCTTTGATGATAGGTTTTATAGACAGAAGTTAGGCACCGCTATAGGAACTAAGTTCGCTCGAGCTTATGCAGCCCTCTTTATGACTGGGTTGAAAGAAAGATTGTTGAAGGAATCAGTGGACACACCCATTGTCTGGATGAGATTCATCGATGATGTTTTCTTCATCTTGACACATTGCGAGGAGAAGCTTGAGACCTCCATCAACTTTCTTAAAAGTAGCCATGATACCATTAAGTTTACAGGGGTGCACTCTAGGGAGAGTATAAGTTTTCTAGACATTAAAGTTATTCTAAGTGAGGGGATAGTCCTACAGCGAAATTGAAACCTCTCTTTAAAAAGGGGAACAAAGATGAACCAAAAAATTATCGACCAATCTCACTTCTGCCGCAAATTTCTAAAGTAATTGAAAAAATTGTCCACGAGCAGATAAAAAAATATCTAGATAAAAACAAAATTATCTATCGTTACCAATCCGGCTTTCGTCCCTACTATTCAACCGACACATGTTTATCATATCTAAGTGACAAAATAGTTCAGGGTTTTGAAAATAATATGTTTACGGGCATGATATTAATAGATCTACAAAAAGCATTTGACACAATCGACCAGGAAATTTTCCTCGAAAAAATGAAGCACCTTGGCTTTGCTGACTCAGTCATACTTTGGCTTCGATCATATCTAACAAACCGAACTTTATTTGTAAGCAAAGGAAAAGATTCCTCATCACCTGGTGAATTATCGTGTGGTGTTCCTCAAGGCTCTATTCTTGGCCCGCTAATTTTCCTTTTATATGTAAATGACATGCCACAGGCAGTCGACTGTGACTTACTTCTGTATGCAGATGACTCCTGTCTTGTTTTTGGAGACAATAACGTGAATGAAATAGAAAAACAACTAAACAGAAATTTCAATACTCTTTGCGATTGGTTTGTTGATAACAAACTAAGCATTCATTTTGGAGAGGACAAAACAAAATAGATACTTTTTGGTAGAAAGAATAAACATACTGACAGAAAAAAACTGGACATCAGAAGAGGCGACATCAAGATTAAACAATACACCTCAGTCACATATTTAGGCTGTATTCTCGATGAAGACCTGTCCGGAGAATCAATGGCTGCAAGAATCCTAGGCAAAATCAATGGCAGGCTAAGATTTCTTTACAGAAAGCAACATTTTCTTGACTTCTCCCTGCGTAGATTGCTAGCAAACGCACTAATTCAGCCCCATTTTTACTATGCAAGCAGTGCTTGGTTTCCATACTTAAACAAAAGATTGACCAAAAGAATTCAGGGAGCTCAAAATAAACGTATCAGGTTTTGTTTGAATCTAAATAACAGAGCACATATAGGAATCAAGGAATTCACAAATATCAATTGGCTCCCCACGAAAGAGAGATTTGAGCAATGTATGACTGCGAAAGTTTTTGATAATTCAGCCCCACCCTACATGTCAGAGATGTTCTTACCAGTTGGCCAGAACAGAATCACTCGAAGGTCTAAAAACAAACTGAATCAGCCTTTCCGAAAGAAAAACATAGGGCAAAATTGCCTCTCATATCTTGGTCCCAAAATTTGGAACAATCTACCGTTAAAACTAAAATCTGCAAAGAACGTCAATAGTTTCAAATACAAGATCAAAGATAAATTCTTTGATGATCTACAAAGTCAGGAGGAAAGCCCCTACATATTTTATTGAAAATCCAAATTCAGCCAACGAAAAGGTTCTAGGTAACATTTTACCAGAATTACTTTTATGCTAGTTTTGGATACAAATCAATTTTACATGTACACATTTTTTTATAACACCTCTGGAGGGACCACTTTGGAAACAAGATCGTATTGACCTTTTTAATGCTATCCCGGCCATTTTTAACCTGGGGTGTTTTTAGTCTATGCTTTTAACTTCTATCTGTAAATTTTATATATCTGTACTTAGATCTTTTTATTTTTCTTAATTTTAAATTTTAATTTATTTGATGGCAAAATTATACATACATACATATTTTTTTGTAAACCTACTGATACACATTAGTATTTACATGAGAAGTCTTGCAGTTACGGGATATGTTAAAGGATTTGGCTGGATGGTTAAAGGAAAAGGGTTATGAGGAATCACTTATAACAGAACAGATAGATAAGGCACGTAGGCAGGAAAGGGTTACACTACTGGATAAGGCTAATGGGAAACATGAACACAATGGGAATGGGCGGGTTCCATTGGTTACCATATATCATCCAGCCTTGAATAATTTGGGCAAAGGTGGCCGGGAGACTTCATTCTATCCTTACAGTATCAGAAGAGCACAGGAAGGTGTTTCCTCAGCCACCTTTGATATCATTCAAGAGGTGTAAGAATCTTAAAGATATACTAGTTAGGGCTAAACTTCATAGTGAGGGGGCAGGGGCTTCGCATAACAAGGATTGTACTCCACGTGACAAGTCTCGATGTCAAGTGTGTAATGTTATATGTGGAAGAGATACTTTTACTTCCCATATAACTTATAAGGAATATAAGATAACATTTTCGTTTAACTGTGGTTCGTCCAATGTGGTGTATTCTATGGAATGTAAAGTCTGTGGTGTACAGTATGTGGGTAGCACTTGCACGCCGTTTAGGCTTAGGTTTAATAACTACAAGGCGTGCAATCGTAAGTTTATCGGGGGCTCTTAGGGTATACCTCAGGTTGGTTTTTTCCGGCATTTTGCAGGGAAGGATCATCATGGGTTTCTCGAAAATATTAAAGTAACGACTATTGATAGACTTAATGGGAATGGTAGGATACGTGGAAGTTTCTGGCAGTATAAGTTAGAAAATTTTGCGCCCCGGGGCCTTAATATTAGGTTAGTTTACACATAGTTTTATCATTGTTTCCAATCTTTTTGTTTATTTTCTCCCTGTCACTTCTATTTATTATTTCCACGTTTTCTGTCTACTTTCTTTTTATTCTTTGCATTCTACATTTAATGTATTTATTTATCGAGTTTCTTATTTTTTGGGACAGACAGCATTTACCGTTTCTTTTTCTTGGGCTATTCTGGATGCTATACCATCTGCTATCACATTTGTTTTATTGTCCTTTTATCTATTGTATTTATCAATCATTTCTCACCTCCGGGACAGTTTTTGGTGGTACAGATTTGTTAGAATATAATTTGCATGTTGATTTGAGTAACATTCCTTACAAAAACGGGGGGGGGGGGTGTAAGGGGGTATTGAAATACAAAAATACGCCTACTTTTAGTGAACAAATACGAAAATCCGCTAATTTTTCAGGCGAAATATGAAAATCCGTCAAGTAAATGCTGTATTCATACCAATGGTCATGATATCATGATATGTATTTGTTATTGATCCTCGCAGCTCTTCCATATCGAATGGAAACTCCGACCAGAAACGTTGACCTTGTGTCCAGCTCAGAATTTGTTGCATCATCATCTCGGTCGTTAGTACTTGAATCATACTCGAGTTCAATTTCTTCAACTTCGTTTCCAATGCTGTCAATTTCCTCTGCATCAACCACTGTATCTTTATGATTTGCAAAGTTAGCTTTCTCTGTGATGACTAGCTTCCTTTGGTAGATCATTTCTGGCATAGTGCCATGTTTTGCCATTGTCGTTTCTTGATTAGTTGTCCTCTGACGCACAGCAGTGCCATACATGCAAGCGTAACTTCGCATTTCACCGACCGACTTTTCATCCATGTTTATCTGAGGTAGTGGGGAAACCAAAGATAGGGCTGATGAATGAATACCATGCTCTTGCTTTGGATACCATGAGGCTTTTTCACTTGTGTAATAGGAAAAGGATGATGATGACAAGCGCTGGATACTTTCTTTGACGGTATTGCCAAAATCCCTGCAATATTCTTGTTTTGATAGTAGTGAGTGTTTAATATGGCTTGTTGAATGGAGATGTTCCACATCTAACGTCATGCAGCTGAGAAGGTTCATGCCTACAATTTCAAGAGATGACATTATAGAATCCAACCTCTGCAAACCTCAAGCTAGAATATCAACTGACTTGATTGTAGCCGCAGAAACCATCCCCTGTGGTTCATTTAGGATATTTGGTAAACGTTGTGTAGAATGAACTGCTCTTACAAAGTCCATAAGAACTTGCTTGTACTGTTTCACTTTGTTGGATGCTTCTGACAGTGTCATGTTTGAGTATGACTGTCCTTTCTTATTGACAGAAAAAGCATTGTAAAGCTGGCCAAAAGCGTCAAGTAATTTTGCAGTCTCATTAAGAGGTGTTATCAGCTTCACAGAATTTGACTGGGCATCGCAAGCATATACCACAGTATCAAATTCTACACCGATGCCAATGGGCTGTTTGAATTGACACTGCTTAGCTGGCCCATCTTGGCAGCTCTCTACTTTGCTGCCAGCGAAAAGTTTGATGATTTCGTCATCATGATCAATCTCTAAAATGCTCGATTGACTCCGATTCCCATTCTTGTAAGGTACCAAAATGCAGTTACAGTACATAGCATTATAGACTACTTTGTGAAAGTGAGTTGTACGATTAACGACGCTTATTCTTTCCCTGTGGGCTACATAGATATTTTGGTCGTTGAAACACATACTTGAAATCGATGACTACTTATCTTGGTAATCAACATTCTCTCTGATGTTGCTGGCA